TTCTTTGGAAAAATGGCAATCAAGAGTTACTTAACATTTATTGCTTCACAGGATTAAACAATTTTAAGATTATTCTGTAAAATAAAAAATAAAAATAAAAATAAAAAATATTATAAAAAGATAAAACCACCCCTCATATACACACACTATTTTAACTATAAGTTTCTATTCGAAAAAAAAGAGTTTCATTTTTCATTTTAATAACAATTAATTTTTTTATTGACAACTCCATAAAAATTAATTTAATAATGAAGAGAAATAAGTGTAATAATTTGGTAAACAAGTTTTTATTTTAAAAAAATTAATTTTTATTTTTATTTTAACAATAATCAATTCTTTCATTAACAACTTCAAAATATTAACTTCATGGTATAGAGAGAGTAATTTGATATAATAAATAAATCTCCATTTAAAAAAAAAGTCTTATTTTTATTTTAATAACACTCAATTCCTCCATCACAACAAATATATATAAATATATATATATATATATAAGAGGTAATTTTATTTTTTTATGACAAATTTTAATTACATTTAGGTCTCAATCTTGTAGAGCAAAATCAGAATTATTTAATCATATAAAGTAATAAATATTGTTCAGTGTTTCTTGGTTGTGATTCTCCCAAGTTCTTCTGTATGCACCTTTTTTATCTAGTCACATTGCTTGATTATCATATATATATTATATATATATCAATGTGATCATATGAACATGTATTTTAGAGGCGAGAATAAAAAAATAGCGAGAGGGGGTTTTAGTGGGAGTAAACCGTAAAGTGGAGCTGGCTTAATGGCTCTCTAATTTCTCTTCTTTTCTTAAGGTCCACGCGCTAAAGACTATTCGAGAGTACTAATTTGATAATGGGAAACAAAAGTATTGCTACAGAATAACAAAGGTCCAACTACTTCCACCGCTTAGTTGAAATTCCCTCCTTTTCTTTAGCGGTAGAAAGCTTTGTCACTTTAGAGATAAGCTAGGTACAACTCAAAATCAAACTAACAATATATATTTTAATTCCATGTATCCGACATGTACCTTAATTGATAAAACTAAAATAACATTGTTTCGTATACACTTCAAGACATTTGAAAGGTCGGAATCGCTAATGGCTGCTTCCCTAATTTCTCACTTCATGTGTCCAACGAGCTGACCGGCTCTCCACCAACCTTGCCCCCACCTTGGGCCCTGTCATTGCCTCTCTCTCTCTTTCTCTCTCTGTGTGTGCCTCGCACAGATACCTCCACCCTACAAACAGACACATTGGCTCTTTCTATGAAATTGCACTTTCGTTAACTTTTATAACGTTGCTGTATGCTCATGTTGTTTTTATCAAAGTCCTTTCTCTGAACGCCTTAATGCCATTATTTTGTTACAAAAATGACGCAAGAAATTGAAGACTTCATCATCAACATCGTATTAACCTCTGTTTTTTTTTTTAACAGAGCCAATAATAATGAAGTGATATCTATCGAGATTCTTTAATTTAGTTCATTTTTAAAACGAACTCTCATCTTTGACTCAAACCTAAATAAAGCCAAATATGCACTTACATATTAGGTGGAGTAGAAATATAGCATTGTCTCGGTGGTAGCAACACTGTACTATAAACAAATTAATTGTACGATTCCAATTGATATCAGCCACTTGTCACAGACCCAAATGTCGTAGCATTTTAGTTTTAGGGTGGACCCTGTCGATCATCACACAACTGCAGAACTATAAACACTTAACGCAGTAAGAGTGGATAAGCATGCCATGTCAGCTTCATAAATCATAGCCTGTGTCAAGCAGAGTAGCAAGGTGAAAAGTCTAGTCTCTAACGTAATTTGTTGATTCGACCCTAGGGCAAATAAAAAACTTGCATGGATGACTCAGCTTAACCAAGGATTTTCCCGTAGGACAGAACAGCGTATTTATCTTTGCTCTGTGCTGTGGCCTGTGTGTGTTTGGAAGCTATTAGATATATTTTAAAATCAAATAAATTAAATTATGAGACTTTCGTTCTTGTTTCCTGCCTGCGTGTTAAAGGAACATATTTATCTTTTGATTTTTCTATGATTAGTTAACCTTTAATATGACAGAAGATGAGATCAAGTCAAATTTGATTAACACTTGAACTGCTAGTTATAAATAATCAAATTATTGACGGTTGTTGAATATCTAGACAACCACGACACATTAATAAGTTATGACTTGTTGGGGCGAGTCCAGGATTTTCGGAATGAGAAGGACATGCTCCTCATCTCATGGTAAACTACCAGTGAAAATGCAAGATTAATTACCCCCATAGAGGGAAAGCAATTGCTTATATTGACTGTTATATGTGTGTCTGAGAGAGAGGATTAGACTACTCGTAAATAAATTTTGAGTATTGTCAACTCAAATGAAATAACAGAGAATGACAGATAAATCACTCTTAAATAGAAAAATGACACTTTGGTCCCGTGAAATGTAATAATGACAATGAAATTTCAAAAGACTTATTGAAAATTAATTTTTTATATAAAATTACTTTAGTACTCATCTATAACTGATGTTATATGATTTACAAGTTTGATATAAATATTTACAAGTTGCTTCTACTAATGACTAAAATGACTTAGGAAATCATAAATTTTTATCATCAATTTTCTTCATTAAGTAAGCTCCAACTAATTATTTATAGTTCACAAGTTCAATATAAATAAATACAAGATTAGTTTTATCAATGACTAAAACGATCTAAAAAATTACAATTTTATATCAGCAAGGTCCTACTAATTTTACATGGTTTACAAGTTTGATATAAGTATTTACAAAAATTTAAGTCCATCAATGACCAAAACAATTTCAAAAAATCATAATTTTTTATTAGCAAAATCCTACTAATTTTATATCATTTACAAGTTTAATATAAGTATTCATAAATTTGAATCCACCAATAACTAAAATAATTGTAAAAAATTATAACTTTATAAATTACAGAGGGGTACTCTCACTGTTATTACCACATTTCACAAGATCAAATTGTCATTTTTTATTTTAAAGAGATTTATTTGTCATTTTCTCATGAAATAATCTCTTCAATATAATTTTTTTATTCAAAATGTCCAAATTCTCAATCTTATTGAAAGAAAATTAAATTTATTCCATTTGATCAATTAGTCATTGTTTGGACTATTCTTTTAGTTCAATATTATAAGATAATTTTAACTAATTTTCACCTTCCATTAAGTTATTAATATTTTTTAAAATTACATATTCTTTTCATATTTTATTTTTAATAGGTTATCTCAATTAAAAAATTTTATTAATCGTGAAATCTGATTAATAGTATTTTTAGAAAAAGTATATTATTGCACATTGAAAGATTTAAAAATAAAAAAAAGTGTATTATAACAGAGGTAATAGCATATTCATCCGTGCATCTTATATGATGAATTTAATGCTAAACCTGCCAAAAAAATTGCATGAAAAAAGGAAGATGTTAAATATGCGAGATATGAATCAGTAAAATAAAATAGGTTGAGAATTATAAAAAAAAAATTGAGTTGGACGGTTAAGAATATAGAAATTAGTCAACATGCGGTCATATTTTATATTGGACTATATTAATAATAAGTGAACACGATGATATTTTTAAACATTAAGAAATATACATTCATTGTTTTATTTTATATATATATATGAGATACATGAGACCGAAATAAGGAAGAGGATAATGAAATATTGAAATTTCAACAGAAATGGGCAGACGAGGTTTTCAATTTCATACAAAGAGGCAAGAGCCAAAAGACATGGGAGAATGACACACTTGAGTTCTAAAGGAACTATTTTATCCCAATAAAGTTCCAATGAAGCTTAAAATACAAAGAAAATCCTTTGGTCTTTAATTAATTTTTTGACAAAATTTTAAACTTACAAATTTGTAACTTATTTTCTGAAATTTAAAGCTTCTTCTACTTTGATTCACAACTTGATTTCCTAATTTCATTAACGAACGCAATTTTTTTTATAAAAAGAACACAAAATTTTGACGTTGACTTACTTGCAACTTACTCTTTTGGATTTGCAATTTCATCCACTATGATTTACAATTTTGTATCTCAATTTTATTTATAAGCATAATATCAATATTTATTTTTCTCATGAGAAATTACTTGTTCAATATCAAGAGTTTGCAACTTACTCTTTATAATTTATTATTCTATTTACCTTAGTTTGCAACTCAAATTCCAGATTTTATTTAAAAATGCAATATTTCAACCTTGAATTTGTAATGTCATATTTTTGTCATCTATATGTATTTTCAATTTTATATCTCAATTTTATTAATGAACATATAATTTTAATACTAATTTTATTTAAGAAATTTTATTTATGAATTTCTAAATAAAATTTGGAACTCAAGTTATAAATTAAGGTAAATGGAATTGCATATTAGATAAAGTGGATTGCAATTTCTTGAAATTTAACGAGTAATTTTTCATAAAAAATAAATATTGAGATTATGTTTATAATAAGATTAAGACATAAAGTTGCAAATCATAGTATATAAAGTTTAAAATTCAAGAGAGTTAGTTGCAAATTCTTAGAATTAAATAAATAGTCTTATAAAATTCAATGTTAAAATTTTGTATTTTTTATTAAAAAATGGTGTTCTTAAATTAAATTAAGAAAGTAAGTTGCAAATCAAAGTTAAAAAATTACAAATTTTAAAATATAAACTGCAAATTTGTAAGTTTAAAATTTTGTTAAAAATCAATTTAAGACTCATTCTTTATATTTTAAAATTCGTTCGGTCTTTGTTGGAATACAATGATTTCTTTAGAAATGAGGTGTCATTAGAAGTTTAGAACATCACAATCTAGAAAACACTCCTAACGGGAGGGCGAGAGAAGTGGGAAAACAGGCCCAGCCACGTTTCATAACGAATTTCAACAGTGACGTCACCTTTCATGGTCATGACGTGCCTGCCTTCTACTTTCCCTGCGCTATAAATCGCGTCTCCCTCCCTCCCAAACAAACCCCGCTCTTCTCCCTTCTTCTCTCCACCACACACACACACGCACGCAGAGAGCTAAACACAAGAGAACAAATCAAACATGGAGTCCAGTGATCCGATCCCAAACATTCCAAGTCCTTCTTCTTCCGTACCTCTCTCTAACTCTCCTTCCCCCTCGTCTTCACCTCCACAAGCGGTCGTAAGCCCTTGTGCCGCCTGTAAGATTTTAAGGCGTAGATGTGCCGAGAAATGCGTTCTCGCTCCCTATTTCCCTCCTTCTGAACCTGCCAAGTTCACCATTGCTCACAGAGTCTTCGGCGCCAGCAACATCATCAAGTTCTTGCAGGTGAGCAAGCCATTATTATTCTCTTTCTTCTTCCATCACGAGTCATCATCTTGATGCACGTTTGAGGTTTTTCTGTTAATTCATATTCAATATTTACGAAGCTATTGGTTTGGGCCAGGAAGCATATTCGTTAACCGGTTTCAGACGTAGAAGGTAGAACCGTGCTCATGACTGGACAAAATGTAGACCGTAGGACTAGTCTACGACTGCCCAATTTTTAATGTTCCTCCCGAATCTTTGATAGCAACGTCGACACAGTGTGCACACAGTCAATTTACACGTAGCTGTTAGCAGTCGAACTTGGAAAAGTATAAAACTCTATTCGGACGAAGTGTATGGAGACCCATGCTAGAGGTCATAATAATGTAACTGCGTTTTCAAAGGCCTACTTTTAACGAATACCTAATGTGGGCCTCCTAATGCCTCTAAGACGATGACGCCCAGAAAAAGTATAAAAACTCCAAGTCGCACCTTTAAAAATATTTAATTTTGTGGTCCTTTAAACAAAAGTAAGATTCGGAGTGCTTTTAAATCCATACTTAATCCCTCTGATATACTTATTTTCAGGAACTTCCAGAGTCGCAGAGAGCTGATGCAGTGAGCAGCATGGTGTACGAGGCGAGTGCAAGAATAAGAGACCCAGTGTACGGGAGTGCAGGTGCGATTTGCCAGCTTCAGAAGCAAGTGAACGAGCTTCAAGCTCAATTGGCGAAGGCCCAAGCGGAACTTGTGAACATGCAAATGCAACAAGCCAATCTGGTGGCTATCCTCTGCATGGAAATGGCTCAGACTACTCAGACTCAAACTCAAGCGGCGTCTCCTACTTTAACTCCTCACGAATATTCTTCGCCGCCATCATCGTCATTTGAAGATACGAACTTCATTACTTCAAGCAACCTCAACTTCTTCGCGGAAAGCACTGGCCTTAACGCTTTGTGGGAGCAGCCACTCTGGACATGATCCTTTTATATTAATTTATTGATTAATTAAATTAGAGTTATACCATCTAGAGAGAGAGATTGGAATATTAGTCCCACAATAACTTTAATTTCTCCAAAGGAGATATAAAGTTTGAACGGATGAATTAATTAGTACTTCTAATAAAAGTAACTTGGTAGCTAGGATTTATGGAGTGTTGAGGAAAAAAAGTTCAATGGACCTCCCTTGTCAATAAATGTATTAGATGTACTTTTTCCTCCATGTAATCTCTCCGGCAATGTTAGAGAAAAAAGTGTACTCCGTCCATTTCTGCTATTTAAGATTTTAGCATATTGATTTAAGAAATGTAATTTACATGTTAGAATTTCTTTTAAATTTTCTAATATACTTTTTTGTTTCAGATCAAATTTAGTAATTAATAACAGAAGGATATAATTAAAAAATAGCAATAAATGTTACATTAAAATTAAAAAAACAGATAATTAAATGGAAATAAATTTTCTTTACAAAGTAATATTAAAAAGAAAGGGAGGAAGTACTAAATCTAGTTATATTTAAGAAGAATTTGATTATGATTGTTTAAGTCTTGAACAACTTTTTGGTGACCTAATATAGCAACAATAATTCAAAGAAATTGATGTGCTTGACGAAGATGTTTAATTCCTTGTCAAAGTAGCTTTTGACTCATCGATTGGCTTTGGATTCGTTATGGCTGGCTTTTCCAGAAACCCAAATCTTCATTTGTAGATGTTTTACCAATCAATAGGCCGACACTTGGCTGAATCCTGGTGGACGATTAAATAACAACGGATCTTCACTGTAAATTAGAATCACTATTTGCCCCTCTCAACGCCCAAAAGTCAAATCCAATATGATAAAAGGGAATTGTTATGCCATTTTTTTTAATCATGCCCCGTCATATATGAAAGTTAATTACCTGTATAACATTATCCCTCACTGTACTAATTAAATAAATACTAATTTCTCAACTTTGTAAAAAGATGTATAATTTAATAATAAGTCATGTTTGAATATTTATATACGATAAATAGGCTTTTTTTTGGCACATATTAACGCTAGCTTTAGCAATCCAAAAATACAATTCAATGCTAATGCTTATGGTGCCCCAAAATTAACAAGACGACAAAATGTAATATAATAATGAAACGTCCTTAAATTGTATTTGTGCATGATTATTACATATAAAAATGATATATGCATTATATTATTTTCTTGTTTAGATAAAAAAACTATAATTCTTAAGAGTGAATCGAAATGACTGCAAAAAAATCAACCGTAAAACAATCTGAAACCATTTCTTGAATTATTTGACAGACTGCCTAACAATTGTAAGAACTTTATAACTTTTAATTTGATTTGATTTTGATCTATTTGTACGGTTTTAACGGTGTTCTTGTATTTCAAAAAAAAAAAAAAAAACCATCCCCTGAACCCCTCAAAGAGCACGTGCTTGAGGAGGGATAATCAACCTCCGTTAGGGTAATGATGACGTACGCATATCCCCAAAACGCGTTTGTTAGGCTGTAGTCAAAGAATTTCAAATCACGTGCTCCCCATGTGAGCTGATCTCCTAATCCTAAAGCCAAAAGGACGCACAAATGCGACACACTCACACTCGCCGGTAACTCATTTGTGTGACAAAAAGTTGTTTACTCTCCCGGCCAACACATATTTACCTTTTTATTTTTTCAATGTTTCACGGTAAAGGAAACTTCGTCGCTTTTTATTGACTCTGTGTGTATCGACCATTGACATAATAATCCATCATTCCATCTCTCTTCACGGCACAATCCATTGCTCCCTCCGCTTTCATTTACAAGCCACATTTTAAAAAGTTTATTTGATATTATTTATAAATTATGATGCATTTTTTTAAATAATATTTAAAAAATATTTTTAAAGTTATTTTTCACTGGAGAAAAAAAATAATATATTATTACTTTTTAAATTTGTTATATAGAAACATGCATATTTAAAATTTACAGATTTTTATTTTTTTTACTTTTTTTTATATTGATATTGATTTGGTTGGTAAAAATGATTTATAAAAATGATCAAAGAAGCACTCTATAATTTTCTCGACAATATTATTACTTCCTTTTGTTCCCTTTTCTCCTTAAAAGCACCAACAAATTCCTTTGCACGTCATTTACAGATCTTGCTTAGTTTAAAGGCAATATTCAATTAAAGGTAAGGAGCTTTGCTCAGGAGAGAGCTTACCTTTTTATGTCTCCCAGAATGCATGATAATAAAAGAGATTGATCTATTAATATTGAAAGGTCGAACTCTTCGTCTTACCAAGATAGTTCAGATTATTAAATGAGAAGTTCTAAAATTAAGGATTGATCTATTCACTTGCATATATGGAAGCCATATATAGGATGCTTAATTTAGAATTAAATGACAACACTGAGTAAAAGACGTGGCTGCTAACTATCTTGATGTAAGAAGTACGTTAAATTAGACTCAATTAATTTCCTAGTTCCTTGCGAGCATCATTCGTTTGGTTTCATGTGGAGGAGCTATTATATTTTAGAGAGACCAGAATATGAAAATAGTATTCTGGTGGGCTCGTGCTTTAGAGGGCAGAGATATCAACACACGTGCCTGACATAATCTGAGAGTGTAATTCCCTTAACTGATAGTGATAGCTAATTTGGCTTCTTCTTCAACCGCTCCAGAATGATTAATTTCTTTTCCCTTATTCCAGCAGCAACGAGTGCACTACGTTTTGCCCTAGCTTTATACATATAGGCAGCTGCCAGCATTGTGGTTTCATAAAAGAGCATGCAAAAGTTTAGTTTCTCGTCACGTGTGAGAGGACAAGCAAGAGGTCCCTCCTAATGCTAGTACTCTTTTGGCTTCATTCTCTCTGATCATTATCAATCATCACTCAAAGAACCTACTATATAATTTCATATACATGTCTCCACCGTTATAAGGCATTTAAATTATGGTTCGTGCTTGTATCATGTCGACAATATGGTTCCATCTGAGATGTTAGGGAGTGACGTCTAGAATTCTAAAAGAATAGGGGCGAGGAAGGAGATCAGTGTTTTATTAATAATTTAACTAAGAGATCAAACAAAATTATACAGTTACATCCATTTAAGTCCTCTGCAGTATCCTTAATTACAACTTTACTTTAAATTGTGTTTGGATGGGTGGATTTAAGTTGAGAATTTGAATTTAAAATCTCACATTTGAAATTCATAAATTATAAATTCTTTATTTGGATGATATAAAAAATTTTAAATTATAATATTAAAATCTTTTATTTGGATATAAAGTAAAATTTTAAAATTTAAATCCTATATTTGAATTTAAAAGAAATGTGAATGACTTCGGCAGTTCGTTCCTAGTCAAAGGTAAAGGCTCGAATGGCCAACTTTCACTTGGACTAGATTGTCAACGTTGATTGGAATTAAACGACTGACTTCCACCTGAATTGAATTGACGATGACGATCGGGACAGGACGACCGACTTCTACCCACACCATATTGACAGTGATGATTGGGTTCGAATCGCCGACTTCTACCAGGACCTAATTGACGACGACTGGGACTGGACAAGTGGCAACAATCAAGACTTGACGGTCGACTTTTACTAGGACCAAACCAATGGTGACGATTGGGACCGAATGGCATAATTTCATCGGGACCACACAAGCTACCCGGTCTCAATGGAAGTCGGCCATCCAATTCTCACCGACTGTACTTCAGTCCTTATCGACATGGGTGGTTCGATTCTAATAATAGTTGGTCATTCGGTACCTACCAATGGTGACAACTTGGTTTTATTAGCTTTAGTGGTATGATCCAATTACCATTGACGGGCCAATCAAACCTTCATAGATTTGGGTTAAATTATAAAAAGATTGAGTTAAAATTTAAAATAATAGAGGTTTAAAAAGAATTTTAAATTACGAAGAGATTGACGTAGAACTTAGCTTCTAAATTTATACATTTTTAATTATCCAAACAATAAATTTGGCTCAAATTTAAATCAAAATTAAAATCTATATAATACCCAAACATAGCATTAATGAAAATCAAAATCAATTAACTTCACTGTGCTTTTTTGTTGCTAGCTAGTTGTTGCATGTACGGGACCCTTTCCCAATAATTTAAGTTGCATCGTTTGGATTTTGGATTTAAATTTAAAATCTTATATTTAAAATCTCGCATTTTAAAATCATGCATGTATTTAAAATTCTTTATTTGAGTAATTTGAAAATTTTCAAATAAAAAAAAATAGATGAATTGAAATTCAAAACGGAAATAGAATATTAAAAGTGATAAGTCCACCTCTATTTTTTACTCGATGAGAGAGAGAATGAAAAATGCAAAAAAAAATACAGAAGTCTTTGAATCATTGATACTAAAAAACACGAAGAGGATGTGGTGCTTAAAGTGATCAAAATTTTAAATAGTTAGAATATAGAGAAAATTTAAAATTATAGAAGAATTATGATAAAAAATTGATTTGCATCACATCGAAGTTCACAAATTTTTTATGTATCAAAATAATTTTTTTTGTCTACAATCGAAATCCAAATTCAAATTTCTATCAATCTAAACGCACTATACAAGGTAGAAAAGAGTTGCTAATAATAAGATATTGAAAGTTTTTGCATGTGCACGGAATAAAATGTCCCCACGCCTCAAAATATTGTTGTATGGCGTTTTTTATATCTTCCTTCAATTGCATGCTTTTATAATAACGTTTTAAAATAAGATTGTACGATTGATTATGATTAAAATTCATTATGAACCCATTATATATCTGTTAAAAAAATACCAAGAAGAAAAAGAGAAGATGAATTTTATCTAAAGTTTCGTTGGTTAGGTCAAATGTCGAGCTTGTACTGTGGTATGGATCAATCCACATCACTAGTGGCATTAGGTTGTGCTTTAGCTGAGAGGTCATTCACCTATATAAAGAGGAAAAAAACAAAGGAAAACCATGTGCTCGAAACAAACAAATTAAGGCGATGAAATTTATCAAGCGGGATCCTTCTACATTGCAAAAGGATCATGAAATAAATCAAAATATCAACACCAAAGAGTTGGTATGTGTAGTGGGCAAGTGGGAAATCAGACGCTGCTTTTGAATTTTTGGATATCTATCTTCCGAAATTTAATTGAAGGTGCTAGCTTGTATCAGACAATGAAAGCGATTCATTCATAGACCTCCAACACCAACCCTTTTCCTTCTCTTTTTCATCATGCATAGCTTTTTTCGTTCCTGTGTCCGTTTGAAATTAATTAGTTTTAGACCTGCAAACTCATGTCTACTTATGCATGCAACTTTCTGCTTTATCAATATTATAATGCGCAGTCATGCCTGGCTTATCCGTTTACATGTATAAGAATATGATACATA